TACGCCAAGAGGTGTTTCTAAAGGTGATTAAATAGCCGGATCCTTTCCAAACAGAGCAAGAGAGATCACTTGTGTTGTAGATCTAAATGTCTAGGTCTTGGCACAGACTGTTTAAAAATGTTTTTCTTTTGAGTGCTTATTTAGTGACCACCATTATTGTAGTCTCTAAAAATGTTCTTTTACAATCCATCGCTTCACTCTCGTTGTTCATTCTTCGAAAATAACATTTCAAATGAGTTTGTTTTCATGTTGTTTTATTTTAAGCTGCTCAAAGTTCGTATTCCATGTTCTGTTTGAAAGTATAGATCTACAATATTTTGTTTTTCATGTGTTTTTTTTTTTTTTCACAAATTAGGTATATATGCAAAAAGTGTTATGTTACTAACAGAAGCACTGTGTGTACGCACACAGTTACGGGGGGGGGGGGGTAACACATATGCTATAATATTTAAGAGCTTCATTGTCTCTCTTTAATTAAAGGTGGTAGTTTGACCTCTGCACAAACGTCTGACGCATATGATGTGTAAATTGCGTGTGTTAATTAGTGGTTAATTAGCGGGTAGGGGGACATTACTCTGGTTGGGTTGTTACGTACATCTGTTTCACCCCATTTCCCTAAGTTCATTTCCTTTTTCTGTTCTTTGTGCTGATACCAATGTGAAGGTTACACTCCAGCAGTCCGTTACTAGAGCATATTGTCCGTCTATGGGACAGACGGTCTCTTCTTCAAATTCCGTAAGCCTTTTCCGGACACCTGTCAGCAGGTGTCACGAGACTATCGGCCCCATTTCTCCACAGCCGCCACCAACACCTGTGTTTTTCTTTATTCTCCCTCCCCTCCTATAGCTTGTCACCATCTCGTTTGTTCGTTACCTGACTCACTCTCTGGTAGATTTAGATCTGTGAATACAATGTAGTACTATTGACATTATGTAGCCAACATCAAACAAATAATTGAAACATCAGCCTTTTCCTAATACATTCGGAATGAAAGGTGAGTCCCAGCTGGACAAAGACACTTTCGATTTATTTGTTTAGTAACAATGTAGTACATGAATGATATCTTCCCTGACCTCGCTGTGTCATCATGAAACTCACCTGTACATCCACGTTAGTGTTTACCCAAGCAGTAGACTCAACATAACCTTGAGGTCCGAGGATGAGTAATTAATTTGTGACTCACCTTTTTTTTTTTTTTGCATAAACCTACTTTAAACAAAAAAGAAGAAAGTCACACGAGACGATCTAGATATATTTTTTGTTTTGTCATAGAGATGACTCAAAACTAATCATTTACATCAGTGTGTACACTTGTCAATCGTTTTATGTCCGGCTTAAGTGGGTCACGATTTATCAATCAGAAAATCTGGTTTAGAGATACACGTAGGCCCTATAGGCCTCAGTTCAGTTGACGCAGAGAATATCTTGTTATGTTTTTATAACCGAGTGATAGCTTTAATTATATCTCAAATAGAAAACACTAACGGGGGTAGAAGGGGCAAAAGAGCTTGAATACATGTTGTTGTTTTTTTTCAAATTTGACGTTTTCTAAATCTGTAGTATCCTCTGTGTTTATTCAAAAGCCGAAATAATGACTTCCTTTTTCTTGTTTCAATCTTAAATATAGTACTCCTACATCTGTAAATGGGTTTAATACATTTCCGTAAGTGAACAAAAAAAAAGTGACTTCGTGAATGTCTTTTCTCTAGGCATTGATACTAATTGATAGTAACATAAACATTTGTCTTTGGTTATCAATTTACATTGACATGGTCTCTTAAATTATTCTACTTTTTCTTTTCTCCAGTTTTGTGAAACTCTAAAGAATTGAAACTCAAAAGACGCTATAAAGAAGTTATTGACATATCTATATAGATATTATTCAAGAGACTAGACCTCATAAAACATTACAGAATGGATATGAACTCAATATTTAGCAGCAAATATTTCCTGGAAGGTCAGACTGCTTCATTTGATTTGGAGTCGCCTAATACAAGGTCACAACCTTTTGGTACAAGTCGTTTGCACCTTGACTTGTACAAGGGAGACAAACCAGAATATGACGAAGTAGATTTGATATCTGAGTGCTCTTACCCTGGCGCCTATGTGCCAGGTAAATTTCTGCAGATATGCGACATGACTCCAGATGCCAGCAAAGACACGTTAATATGGCCAGTTTCTTTAAGTGGGACAGTGCGAAGTGAATTAGAACCCAAACAGATTATTACTGGACAGTCTAGTCAAGTCAGTGAAGATGTCTATTCTCAAAGACAGGTAATTATTGAATAATAAGTAATTTAGCCAGTAAATCTTCACTGTTATAATTTTAGAACCATGGAAGCTAGCTTTCTGATATTCCTAAAGTTGACATAGGTGCTAAAAGAAATTGGTTTCTTTAGTGAAATAAAAGTTTATTGTAATCAATCAGACTACCAACTTTTTTACATATTGCATTTATGTACAAGACAGTGTTAAAATTATACAGCACTTGGTAATTGGATGATGTGGCTTAGGAGCAGAGTCATTGCTCAGCTGACGGTCCACATCATAATGTTCAAACCTACAAATGACCAAGGCTTTGATCAGGATGAAGACACTCAGTTGATGAAATGAATGCCCAAAAAGTGGTCTCTGAATACTTAAAGAAATTGTTTGTTGATAAAACATGTCAACTAATAGTTTACTAAATACATTTAGATCTCAATTGGAAACGAAGTTAAATTGCTTTAAAAGAATAGGAAGGTATCAACAATTCTCAATTATTTAAAAGTATAAATTTTTCTTCTTCAGGTTTCTCGCAGGCATCACCGATTTTCACTTCAGAATCCAAAATATTTTGTTCCTCTTGTCGTCTGCATTATTGTCGCACTATTTGCCCTTGGCGGATTAGCAGCTGTTATTTAATTGTACTGAAACATTTCTGAAAAGACTCCAGTCTGGTAGTTCACAAGTATAAATACATTATCTTTTCCAAGTTCTAAGTCAATTTATGCTGGAATTCTCTTTGACTAATTGTTTTTCTAGTCAGAAACTCAGGATGTATGAAAAGTTTTGGAATCATTTCCTCTTCGTCATTGCTCCAATGTACATGTGTTATCAGGTGCAGCCAGAAATAGTCACATTGTAACTGTTAGTTTATATAGCCATTTGTTCAATTCTTTATAAATTTTGAGACACAAAATAGCAGCAATATGAATGTGGAGTAAAAAGCAAGAAGTGAAACATAAATAAATTAGTTTCTCAAAGTTAAAGAAAATTGTTTGAAATATCTGTTATGCAATATTAATATAAAAATTAAGTAGAAAATGAATTTGTTGTGTAGTTTTAGAGTCTTAGATCTTCTTACAAGGTTAATGATATAAGTCAACATTACGTTCCATTAATATACCATTCAAATTATATATTTTTGATAGACCAGTAAGTGAAGAATTGCTGTGTTAGAGTCTTAAAACCAAAGAATTCTTCTCTGGACAACACTGTTGCTCCACTTTTGTATTCTTCTTAGTTACACTTAAACCATTTTGATTTGTAACAATTTTGTTTCATAAAAAAACTTTTTAGAATGGAAATAATGGCTAAAATATTGTCCTTTTTTATAGTTTTTTTTTTAATGTAAAGATGATTGCATGATCAGAAAAATTCACTAATTCGTTACATTTTTCACTTTATGAATTTTAAATTAATGGTGCTGGTTGTGAGTCTATCTTTTAAATTTTAACCCAATAATGTCTATTGCGCTAGTATGCATTGTTTATGGTGTTTGTCTAATGGGGTAGGATGCTAAAAGCAGTTTTTGAAACTTTCCTATTAGAATAGCTCTTCTTGTCTTGTTCGGAATGAGATCAAGTGCATGGTAATTCTTTTTTTTTTGTGTGTAAAATCCAGAAATATAAAGTTAGTTTTTTTTAATATTTTAAATGAAAGTTCCCATTAAACAGTGTATTTGACCTACCTGGGTAATCTTAATCTTGTTTTAAAAGTATATATTTTTGAAACTGCACATATTTTTCTATATTTTAAAGTTGTTTATTGATTATTGTTTAAATTTTTTTTTACATTTTTTTATTCTTAGTTTTTTTTTCTCTTTGTCTTAGTATCTTTTCTTTTTAGTCAATAAAAGATATTTTTCAAACCAGAGAAATGCGCAATAAGGTTAAATTAATGTTTTATTAATTTATAGGAGTTCATTATTTTAAATGCTATCAGTAATTATTCACATTATGACACATAAAATAAATAGATAATTTTGTCCTCTGTCGCTACCATATGTGAACAGTGCCATCTAGTCAGTCAAGTGCTTTGTCTTAAAAGTTTGATTTATGTGAGATTGGTATACTTTCTTAAATGAATGAGTTCTAGTAAAAGTAAATAGTTTTTATTCCCTGACTTTGATGGAAAAAAGTGAAAAAAAAATTACAATTTGTGTATGATAGTGTTTTAACTACTTAATTGTTTTTTTAACTCTTGTTATAAATGTATTTATGTCTTGTAAATTATTGTGCATTACATCTCTTTGCTTGTCTCCTCTGAAACTAAACTGATTGTTTCTAGCACTGACCAGATGGCTATCATGCACTAACTGTCCTGATCTGGTTCAAATTTGGGAGCCTAAAATTGGGCAGCCCCAACTTTAAAACCAATGTTTGACAATGACATGTTCCAACAAATTCGGTCCACTTTCCTTGAGCTTTCAATAGTTTAGTTCAACATTAACACTGCCCCACCCCCTCCCAACCTTGTAGTTGAATTCAAGCTGTTTTATTTTTAACTCCACTTTTATTGTCTTGTCTTTGTTGGCATGGCTAAAAATATATGTTTTGTTCACTTAAATCTAAATTTGATCATGTTATAGATGTGATTCTATTGTGTTAATACCAACAAACTGAACTTTCTGCCCTGGTGCACATAGAATTTTTAAAAATGATATTTTTTGGTCGCTTTCTCCACTACTTTGACTTATTGAACCTCTGTATTGCATTGTATGTATATATATATATATATATATATATATATATATGTTTAAGTATGATTACTTGTGTATGTTTGTTTATATATGTTTATATATGTTTAAGTATGATTACTTGTGTATGTTTGTTTATAAATGTTTAAATATGTTTACTTATGTATATTTGTGTATCTTTCAATTATTGTTTCATGCCTTATTTACTTGATTCATTGATATTATGTAAACCTTTTAAGTAATTTGTATCTACACAAACTAATAGTTAATGGCCAGTGTTGATTATATAGGCTGTATGTTCAAAATGTTCCATGTTATATATATACCTACCTTTTTCTGCACCCTGTATTTACTATTAGATACGAGTTATTTTGAAAATGTTAGGCTATTTTGTTTGGGGGAAAGGGGGGGGGGGGGTAGAAGTATGAGGTTTTCTAATCTGCCTTGGGCCAGATCCAGCAGTCAATTATGTCCAACGCAGTAGTGATTTAAATCTTTACTTTTTTTTCATGCAAATTCAGAAAATAAAGGGGAAAATATCTATTTCTATTACATCATTAAAACTAAAAATTAATTATCCCCCTTGATTTCTGAACATTGATTCTTATGACAAATATAATAGTTCACTAAGACACAACGTAGAAAATTGTTTTGACTTTTGTAAAGGTAGTTTATATAAACCATAATGAAATCCTCATTTTTTTGTTATAAATAGTTTACCATTGTTTGTTATAGATGTACACTTATCTGGTTTCATTAAATCAAATATGTATGGCTTAACTGGCATTGTCCATGCATGGCACGGGATTTTTTTTTTTTTTTTTTTTAAATAATGTAAATATGTAAATATTAAATGTGTTGGTATGCCAGAAGGTTTGAAAAATGTCTTCCAAATATTTAGTAAGCCAAATTGGCAAAATGTATGAATGAATAAATGTTTGTATTACCATGGAGTGAGATTGTGGAATGGAAGCGTTTGGAAATATTGAAAATGGCAACATAATAAACTGTCATTAAAGAACAACAAATTGATTGTTGTATTGTCTATTTTAAGTGTTTGATTATGTGTGGTGTTTTATTCCCAGAAAATTAACTCCAATAAAATCTAAAAATCTCTCTAAAGCAGAAAAAAAAAATTTGCTTTCTAGTTTATGCAACTAAATATCCAGGAGCAATAGAAAATAAATATGATATTGGATTGATTATAGACTACTTTTGAAGCATCTAATATTTACAGAAATGAATTAGTACATGTGGATAAAGACCAATAAAAGGGATATACAGATTCTGCTATTTAAAATATACAAAAATGACATGATGGTCATCAAGAAAATACTGCGTTAACTTATCGAAGCTAGATGTAGGCCTACTCTAATGTCTATATACATCTCATCTATCTATCTACGAACAATCTAGATTTATGAACTTTTTCTAGACTCTAGTAGAGATCTAATTCCACCAAAGAGGCATGCGCTCAATAGACCTCATTCACCAATCGTAAACAAACAACATTTAGCCACGTGCTTCTCTATCTCTTCTATATTTGGGGGCCCGTGGGATTGACCTCTTTGGAGGCCTCATGCATTTTGACATCAAGACATGAGATAATGTATTTAATAAATACATAAGCCTACATTCAAATTGATACAGTATATCAGTAAAATTAACAAGAAATAATCATTAAGAATCTTTTAATGAATAATACCGTTGTTTATTGGCGAAATAATGCACAAGTGACAAATCTCAATTCACATCTCTACAGGTCGTGCTTTCTGAGCAGCAAAGGCATCTATAACATCATCTACATCGAAAGCGTCTTGTATTTGTGAATCCACTGGCATTCAAGCCATGCTGCTAAGCCTTTCGTGTGCCTCTGAGGTAGTTTTTGATAAACTTGGCTTTGACCATAATCTCTCACATGACGCAATGAAGTGGCCTGAGTTTGTAGTATTCGGATGGAGGGACAAGGTTGGAGCACACATCATTACCATATGAAGCCAGCTTTCTCAATATTTCAGTTGGTGATTGTGGCACTGCTTTGTTGATGAAAAGTGTTCGTGCATCAATGACATCATTGAACAAGCGATTTGCCAATATTTCATAAAACAGGAAAAAGCGACACAGTTTTTCATCAGCGTGTCATCATCCATAGACTCCAAGAGGTGTCTTGGTTCAATAAAAAACCCAAAGGTGTCCACATGGTTTTCCAGCATTTGGAATCTGTCCTTCATCTCCACATGAAGTCTGTCCAGCACTTCTGTCACAACACGTTTGAATTGCAGTTCTATTGACAGTCCTACATTAGACCTAAACTCCCTATCAAGTCTTTTCGTTCTTCTGGTTCTTTTGATTACAAGAACTCTATAGCATTCACTATCTTCTTTTGCTTTTTCGATGGGTTGGGTGATCAGCTTCTTCCGTTTCTCATCATTTTGCAGAAAGCATGAAAGGGTTTTAATTTCTTCCGCAGCGTCTCTATGTGTAGTCCAGACGTTTGTATTTCTTCTGAACTATATAAATTGGGCGCAGGAGATTTGACCGGAATTCCAGATAAGCAAAAAATTCATAATTTTCCACAGCATGAAGAAGACTCTGTGCACTGCTTCTAGTGTCCATTCTTTCAGTTGTTGATTCAGAAAGTTTCTCCAACAGCTTGATGATTTTTCGAGATGCCGACGTAGCTTTTTCTCTTGCGGATCACTTGTACTCTCCTTTTTTATACTCCCGGGTCCAGCTTCTTTCAGTTAGACCTATCTCTGCGGTGAATTGGGAAAAAAAGTTCCAAAAAAAAAAGGTGACAATTGCTGGATCTATCTTAGCAGAATGAGGAGCTGCCAGGGTCAGAGAGTGTTTATCACAGTTCAGAAATGTTGCCTTTGAATTTATGTCTAAGAGACGTTTCTACAGGCCAGACAGACGGTCACTCATTGTGGCTGCGTTATCATAGGTTTGACCTCTGAACAGATCAAAGTCCATTCCAATGTCTTTAAGAGTTTTCAGAACAAGTTCTTCACAATGTTGTCCATCAGGTTTCAAAATTTCAAAGTCACCAATGAATGACTCTTTTATTTCGAAGTTAACAACATCCAAGTAACGACCTATTAGAGAGACTTGTTCTTGATGAGAAACATCTGGTATCGAATCAAGCAATAGAGAAAAGTAACAAACGTGCTTGACTTTCCAAACAATTGATTCCCAAACTTTTTGCCATCAAGTTAATAAAATCATTTTGAATTTTTAGTGACAAATAATCCAATACCATCCAATGCTGCTGATTTTTCAAAATTTGCACATGAAACATGTTGCAGTTCATCTGGTTGTGCCATAAGCTTTTCTTCTTCCAGCTTCCACTTCAAAAAAGCGTGTCTGTGGTGGACTTTTTCTTTCTTTCAGTCTCTCATGTTTCTTCCATTTGGTGAAATGCTCAATGCACTAAATGTCTTTTCTGATGCCTCAGAAAATAGTACACATGGAAAACCAAATAGACAATCCAAACGTGAAGAGTAGACGAGCCAAGATCGGTTTCAAATTTTTCCTGTTAGAAGCTTTCTAGTGAACCATGATGTCAGACTTCGTGATTTATTTTGGGTAAACCCTACTGAAACCATATACGTTCATCTTTGTTTTGGAAAAATAAGATATCCTTTAACACAATATTTACTCGCAGTTCCTCAGATAAAATTCCAAGCTGGATATATCCGAAGTCTTTGTACTTAATTACAGTTTTTTCCACTTCTGGAGAAAATGATTTTGGAAGACCATCACTTGACTCATCATCGCTTAATTCAGATGATTTCTCTGACTATGGTAAAAGGTATTCCCCTGGAGTCTCTTCAGCACTACTTCTCTCATCAAGAGACATTTTTCACTTCTTCGACTGCTGTATCTTTGTATGAATCTCTGAATAGTGAAACTTTTCTTCGAGACGTTCATTGTCTCTTTTGTTTTCAGTGCTCGTATCAGGTTTCTTCTTAAATGATAAGTTTTTCTTATCTTCTTATCTTATATAATATAGACGTTAATTCAAAAAAGTCTACCACCACACAATATATCAATTTCAAATATAAATTTGTGTCCGGAGTCGGAGATAGTAATTGATATAATTATTGACTATTGTGTTTCTTTACTTTATCGTCATCTCTGATATTATCTTTATACATTAGTATTTTCTGAAGTAGTGAGACCACTCTAGCCATCAAGAGCTGGTATCAAGTTCTTGTCAGAAAACACAAACTCTCTTTTGTAATCTTGTAAGTTAGGATTTCAAACCGATAACAAACTAACTTCGAATGGATGATTCTGAGGTCATACGAATTGAATGAGTGGGCATTGGCATGGCTTTGGTTTTAAAATCAACCACCGCAAGAAAAGAAAAATACAAGCAAACAAACAAACTTCGAATGGATGGTTTTGAGGTCAGACGATGAGAATGTGTGGGCATTGGCATAGTATTGGTTTCAAAATCAACCACCGTTGGAATTCGAGGTCGGAATAATTTAAATCGGCACTCGCTGAACCTCTAAGAAAACATTATAACATCTATATTTCATTTATCCTTGACAAAAATTGTTCAGTCTGGGAATTAACCCAGGACTTGTGTGTCATTAGCGAGACGCTCAACAACCAGTTATTCAAATATGTGCAGCATTTTATTTTTAAATAAATGATTCACTCTTTAGTCTTTTACACTACCTAGATCTGCATGTGTCTAAAATGTTGGTTCTAGAATTTATTTTATTTCTTTTCTCTTTTGAAATGAAATCTGAGTTAGTGATTTTGCAGATTTTCCCCTTATGGCCTCATAACCAATCTACCCGCTGTCACGCGCCCCCAGCGCCATCCCACCCCGAGGTGCTGTCGGTGACGGCGTTTAGGAGCTTAATGTGTCGGACAAAAGGTTGGTTGCCACCTAGCGCTAACGAGTTCCTCCTGCCCGAGGGAGAACGAAAACTCAGAATTCAAACCTCTCCTGCCTTCAGATAAATATAATTTTTAGATCAAGACATATGACACACAGTCGTTTTCTTTTTTTGTCAGCGCTACTTTGTCATACGAAATTTCGGTATGTAACTCAATTTCAGCTATGTGTGCTTCTTAAAACAAGATTAATTCTAGGCAGTTTTATTTATTATTCAAGTCTATCTTTGTTCGTCCATCCTCGGTATGAGTATGAAAAGAAACACGTAATGTTGCTGTCTCTTTGTTCAAAGTCTGAAACTCTAAAATCTTATCGGAAATGTTTACGTTGGATCTATTCAGACACAAGCAGGGAGGATCTTTGGCTTGGATTGTAAACTATCGAAGCAGGGCCGGATTTAAGGTAGGGCAGAATAGAAACTCTTTGAGTAGAAGACTCGACGACCATTTTACCTGTAAATAAACGTTTAGACGATTTACTAAAGCGATATCCAATTCTTTTAAGAGCGTCTGAAAAGCTGTGCGGACTGGAATGTGTGTTATAACTCTTGATTGGAGCATAACAAGTTATCAAATGTGATAGCAGCCTGAGTGATAGCATAATTAGAGTATGACTTAGACATAGCTGAAGAGACCATAAAGACAGGCTCGAGCTAAATAGAAAATGGCATAAACACGGCTTGGTGTAAGACCGAATTGAGGTTGGAAATCAAGGGCCAGTGCTTTTTGTGACTGAATTAGAGACAATATTATATGCGCACATTCTTAAAAGCATGGGATAAAACAATATTATAATTAAAATCTATTTGTTTTAAGACACATTCGGATCTCCTCTCCCTACCCTAGCTACGCCACTGCTTCTTTTACAAATTATGTAATACACACAGGCTGTCACGTGACATTTAAAAAATTGTTTTATCAATATTATCTCGTGGCTAAATGCTCTTTGCTTACGATTGGTGAATGAGGCCCATTATAAACTAATGGCAAAATAAAAGATTAGGCTGAAAGAATAATTCCAGCCATTGAGGAGTAAATGCTGCAGCAAAATGCTGAATATCAGATACCAGGAAATAAGGACATGAATTTGTACTTATACAAGTCAACACTCC